GCCCGAGAGAACTAATTCTAGAGAAGTCTCGGATCTCGACTAAAGCTCTCCGCATCCTTAAGAACAACACATCCCCAATGACTATCTGGAACTATCTGAAGTCCGGCAGCGAATTCTGGGACGCAGAGACCACTCGTCGTGAGCTCGAAAACAGCAACTACTTCGCCAAGGAAGATGATGGTGAGGGAGCTTGGCCTGATACTCTGGCCAAAGCCAAGGGCAAGGACTTGTTAATGTCTGCCCTTGGTGCCCTCGTCCAGTACCTGAGGGTTCTGAAGCTAGAGAGCGACCTCCTGTCGCAGGGCAGCTTCGATTGGTATACTCCTATCCGCCGCAATGGAACCCTTATCCTCGACGGTCAGACTTTGATCAACCTGGAGATCTTCTCCAACACGGTGAACGGTGGGCAGGATGGCACCTTGTTCACACTCCTGAACCGCTGCGTCACACCATTTGGCAAGCGGCTGTTCCGCCAATGGGTGTGCCACCCTCTTTGCGACATCAAGCGTATTAATGAACGCCTGGATGCCGTAGATATGCTCAACTCCGACAGGGGCATGCGAGAGAAGTTCACGTCTCAAATGACGAGAATGCCCGACCTGGAACGCCTCATCTCGAGAATTCACGCGGCTTCCTGCAAACCAGAGGACTTTGTGCGCGTGCTCGAAGGCTTTGAACAGATCGAGTACACCATGGAGCTTTTGGGAGAGGTTGGTGGCGGCAATGGCTTGGTTGAACGCCTGGTGGCTTCCATGCCGAATCTCGGTGAACCTTTGGCGTACTGGAAAACTGCGTTTGATCGAAAGAAGGCAAAGGAAGACAAACTTCTCATTCCTGAACGTGGTATCGAGGAAGATTTTGACAACAGTCAAGACCGGATCGAAGCCATCAAGGAAGAGCTACAGACTCTCCTTACAGCCAAGAAATCCGAGTTGAAGTGCAAGACGCTGAAGTTCACCGATATTGGCAAGGAGGTCTACCAAATTGAGGCACCCAAGGCTGTTAAGGTGCCGAGAGACTGGCGCCAGATGTCGGCGACTGCAAGTGTCAAAAGATACTACTTTGACGAGCTCACAGACTTGGTTCGAGAGTTGCAAGAAGCGGAAGAGACTCATTCACAGATCGTCAAGGAGGTGGCCGCGCGGTTCTTCCACCGCTTCGACGCCGACTATGAAACCTGGTCGCAGTCAATCAGGATCATCTCACAACTTGACTGCCTCATCAGTCTCGCCAAGGCCTCGTCTTCGCTGGGCGAACCTAGCTGTCGCCCAGAATTCGTTGACCTGGAACGCAGTGTTGTGGAATTCTCTGAGCTGCGTCATCCATGCATGTTGAATGCAGTGGCCGACTTCATCCCCAACGATATTGAACTCGGTGGCGATTCGCCAAACATCAACCTATTGACAGGTGCCAATGCCGCTGGCAAATCAACCGTTCTGAGAATGGTAAGTCTTGTTATACCAACACCTCCTACTCAGAACCTCAGCTAACTCGTGCAGTCCTGCATTGCCGTTATCATGGCCCAAATCGGATGCCATGTTCCGGCTACATCCGCTCGACTTACTCCTGTTGACCGAATCATGTCAAGACTTGGTGCTAATGACAACATTTTTGCCTCTCAGTCAACATTCTTCGTGGAGCTATCTGAGACGAAGAAGATTCTGGCGGAGGCCACGCCGCGCTCTCTGGTGATTCTGGATGAACTCGGACGTGGAACGAGTTCATATGACGGAGTTGCAGTCGCACAGGCTGTCTTGCACCACATTGCTACACACGTGGGTTGCGTCGGCTTCTTTGCTACGCACTACCACTCCCTGGCGACCGAATTCGAGAATCATACCGAGATTCGCCCACGCCGCATGCAGATTCACGTGGACGAAGAGGAGAGGCGCGTCACGTTCCTCTACAAGCTCGAAGACGGAATCGCTGAGGGCAGCTTCGGAATGCACTGCGCCGCCATGTGCGGTATTTCCAGCCGCGTCATTGAGCGTGCAGAGGTTGCGGCCAAGGAATGGGAGCATACCAGCAGGCTCAAGGAAAGCTTGGAAAAGGCCAAGTCTGGTTGCTACATCCCACTTGGTGTACTGAGCGACGTGTCATCCTTGCTCAAGGGCGGTGATGAGCTGGAGAAGAGGGGTGTCGAGGTGTTGCTGAAGACTATTGAGGCGCTATAGAGGCTTTTGCGCCAGCTTTGAAGGCGTTAATGACTGAAGTGTATAGTACGGATAGAAGGTATTCCCGTTGTTTTATGGTAAGGCTTGAGCGTTCAAGGAGTTATACCGGGCTTTTTAAGGGAGAAAAACAGTTGCTCAATCACAAAAATATTTGCTCATGCATCGTTCCTCGGGGTTGATTTGCCCCAACCCTACAAACACGTTGGGAATACTAGCATCGTGTGAGTTGAGCATTTATGTATTAACTTTGTATTGTCTTCATTTATGTACCATTTGTACAGCAAGACTAGATGTTACTGACAAGCCTTTGATCTAGACATCCAAAATAAGGTCATTTCTTTAGGCCGATTATCATGAGGCTTCCAAAGTCTGTATGAGTTAGCTGGCGAACACTGCAAATAAGCACAAGGGTATCCAAACTCACGATAGCGAACCGGCTCTTGGCCCGGATCCGTTCACCAAAGAAGACGAGCGCCCACGGAATCAACGTCAAGCCTGTGGCAATCCCACCCAACAGCGAGCCCGCGCGTTCCTCCCCCAGATTTCGAAACAAGGCCCCTGTGACGAGCGGGAAGACGCCCCCTAGTATATTTCGACAACACGACTGTGCAGCCAGCGCCGAGGAGGCGTACTTGTGGTAGATGTCGGCAAAGTAGTTGAACGTGGCCAAATACACCGAGTAGATGCCCCACGTCGCGAGCCCGATGCCAAAGGCGGGCGCGATCCAGTGGAACTCTTGCTTGGCTGTGAAGCCGAAGATGAAGAGGCCCGCGGGGAGGAAGGTGGCTGTGATGCAGGTGAAGTACAGGCGCGACTCGGGCGCCTCGGCAGGGAAACGACGCCGCATCAAGAGCCAGAAGCGGGAGGATTCGACGATGGGGGTATCGGCTCGCCATTGGGGTAGCTGGAGGAGCCTGTCCTGGAGGACACCGACGATGGTCGCGACCACGGAGCCGACGATCATGGCGGAGAAGAAGTAGCCCGACTGCTCAATGTCCCAGTTGCGCCTGCGTGACATGGCCAGAGGGATGCTGCCGAATGTGCAGTAGAGGACGGCCCAGGCAAAGGCGCACCATATCGAGAAGAAGAAGACCACGGGCTCTGTGTAGAGAAGGTGGAATGGTCGGGATACCGACATTGAGATCAGCGTGGTGATGGATGCCCGTTCTTCGTCCTCCTTTACTAGCCAACGCAACCGTTGGGATTTGAGCTGGGCAGAACATCGACGATTCGACTGACAAGTTGCAGATGTCTTTTCGAGACCGCAGCAGGAGCACACCTGCGTATCACCCTCTGAATCCGAAGCCGTGTCGGCGCCGTCGCTGCTATTCGTCGTGTCCTCCAGCCACACGCCGTAGAATCCTGCCTTTTCCCTTTCCTCATACCACGCATTCAGAGCTTCGGCTTTCCTTGATAGAATGACGGAACCCCGGCTTTCCTTGAACTGAACAGCGAGTGCAATGACAAGAACAGTGTCGACGATGACCTGGTGCCAAAAGATCCACTTCCATGCCAGCGTTCCGTCCGGAGATCCCATTCTCTTGACCATGAGTGAAGCCACCAAGGGACCGGCTCCTGTTCCAGCCAGCACGGCGCCGCTGAAGAGGGCCATGGGGGTGTTTCTCTGCTCCTTTGCCCAAAGATCCGCAATGACACCGCCAATAACCGAGCTGAAGACGGAGCCACCGACACCGACCAGGAACCGGGCGATGAGCATGGCCGTCAGGTTCGGCGCAACAGAACAGACGGCTTGGAAGATGACATATACAACGCCAGAGATAACAAACACTGGATATCGGCCGTATATTTCCGACAAGGGCGCCAGTACCATCGGTGAGAGGGCAAAGCCGATGCAAAAGGTCGTAATGCCAGTCAAGACGAGTAGCTGAGAGGTGCCAAGGTCATCGGCCATGATGTAAGACGGTGGTGAATACGAGCCAGCCGTGTATGCGGTGAGAAAGGTGGCGACGCACGACAGCGCTAGCATGAGGTATTTCCGGGGTTGAGGCCATTGCAGAGGTGAGGTGTAGTGTGACAGGTTCGGGGGTGCTGGTTCTGGCGGCGACTCGGCCGATACTTGGAAAGGTATGTTGGCCGGTGCGGGTAGGACTGTATCGAAAGCCAAATATCTGAAAATGATTGTGCTGTTGGCGTCGACACGGGCGTCAGGTCTTGGCAGTTGAGAAGCCTCGTTGGCACTTGACAAAGTGTTGGTTCCCTTGGACCCCTGAGGCGCATTTTCGATATCTAGCATCTTGTTCGTCATAGTCGGGAACTACTTTGTTAGACGGCAATGCCGATGATGTCTGGAGCCTCAAAACGAATTTGCAGGCTGAAGATAGAGAGTGTGAATCGGTACAAGCTCCATGACCGTTTCCAACTTGATGTTCAGCGAGGTTGGAGCACAATCCATGTGGAGATGCGTGAAGCAGCGGAGGTGAGTGAATGAGTGAATCAAGACGAAGCTGGCGTCGAGAGAATGAGGGAACTGCAGGATATAATAATTTGTGTTAGTGAACCTCCACACAAACGAGAAACGGCAATATGAGACTAAGAAAGGCCGTCCCAGGGTCGGGAATGTGAACGGGAATAACGGCGGATGGATCCCACCCAGTCACGTCGGCAGCGGCTATGCCCCCGGTCAGCCGAGGGTCTACTCACCACAGGGCCCAAGGTAGGTAGGTACCTGATGAAAGGTGGGAGCTAACGCAGGTAGCGGTCAGAGTCGGGACGAGGACGGAAGTCTGGATGCGATGTGATGCGACGCCATACGGCACGATGGCTCGGCCAGCGGCTGGCTGAGAAACGGGAAGAAGGCCGCGATGCCCTCGCTGTTGGTCCCCCGCTGTTGGTCCCCCGCTGTTGGTCCCCCGCTGTCTATCCGACTTTCCTCATAATAGTCCGCCTCACAGAAGGTTGAGTAAAAGGCAGAGCTCAGAGTCAATCGAAAAATGCCACTTGGACAAGACTCGAATGCCTCAAGTTAAGCGAGCTGCCCGACTAAGTATCATATTGCAATCGGAGGCACAGCCGCAGGCACGAGCGCAAAAACGGCTGCAGATCATCAAGAGAATCATGATTCGTGCAGGCTCAAGGGGGCGTGGGGCATGACTGCTGCGTTGTACGGGCCTAGCTCGATAGCGCCTCCATGCCTGTCGAGAATGCTTCATCGACGTTCAAGCCAAGCTGGAGAAACCCCAGCTTTCAAATACAGCCAAGCCGAAGCCACAGCAGTGGGAACCAAGACGCAGACTCCACCTTGAGTTGAAGAAAATGGAGTCAGTCTCTATAGTATTGTGAACATATCGTTGACAGGTTCAACTGGTCAGTTGCTGGACGGCCCTTTGGAGATGGAAACCATCATCTTGCCTTCGAGTCTCATATCGTTTTAGCGCTGCTAAGTTGTCCGGTTTTCTGGTACACCCCGTCTGATCTTGGACTTGCCCCGTTCAGGCTTCCCTGTCTATCTGGGGTTGAAGCGGCGTGGCATACAGACTAACGAAGTTCATCCATCTTCTTTTCCGCTCTATTCCCGGGAATATACCCCAGGCGGTACGTAGTCTCCAGCAGCGTCATGTAGGAAGATGGATCGGCTATCGGCTACTTTTTCCATCCTCACGATGATGGAGACTGCTTCCAGGTTCGGTCAAACTGGTCAGAGTCGATGTACAGACCTGGCTGTCAGTTGCTTACAGAGTCTGCCATATGGAACGTACGTAGGAAGGCGGCCACAAACCAAGAGCAGACATAAACCAACGGCAATCTGCCCGTGCTCGGCTCGACGACCCTGGCTCTGCATTACCACGGCATTGGTAACGGCCATATTTTGATGCCAATGTCGTCCCGTACGAGCCATGCCGGAACGTTACTGCGAGCGAGAGTTGAAGAGGGGGTGGGCACTGGGCCGCAGCGACTTGATGCTCAAAACCGTGCAATTCCCGTCAAGCCCTGAGTCGTGGTGTTGTGGCCCCGGGCCCATCGACGTCTGACAACGCGACCGTCTTTCCTCTCCTTGTACGTACCTTACACGCCTTCCAAGTATGGAATTCCAACACACGATAGTCCAAAAAACGTGAAAGATGTGAAAGACAAAATCGCATTCCATTCCGAAAAAAAAAGCCGAAGGACAATGTGCGGGTACCTATCTCTTCTCCGAAACCACCACAACCACCAATATTACTAACGTTTGGAGAAGAGACTTACTTACAGGACCCTCCGTCCAGCCAATCATATGTCTCCAACTTGACGATGCAAGTGAATCCAGAACTTCTGTTCTTTAACCTAGACCCAATGCTTACCACAACCTTTCCCAACCAAAATCCTCCATCTGGATTATCCTCGATAACCGTAATGCGGAAGACCGCTGCCATGTGGCTCGGCAGGAAGCTCAGCGGCAACCCGTGTTGGATGCAGCTCGTACGCGGGGTATGCGGCGGGCAGAGTATGGAAACTGGCGTTGGCTGCTTCGTTTGACGGGTGAAAGTGCTGGTACAGATCCGACTCTGAGCACGCGCGTGGGGCGGGTTGAGACATGGCCATGCTGTAGCCAACCTCATTGACATGCTGGTGAGAAGACTGATCCTGCTCGCGCTCCTGTATGCCAACAGCAGCAGCCTCCTTCTTAGCATCTTCCTTGATCGCATGTCTTCGACGCACGTAAGCGTGAATCATGCCGATGAGGAACAGGGAGAAGAGAACGCTGCCGACAGCAGCACTAATGATGATAATCAATGTGTTCCTGGGAAGAGTGACGTGGGGTTCCTGGTCAGGTGAGCCGGTCGAGTTAGGCAGTGGCGTGTTCTGTTCGGTAGACGAGAGCGTGGAGGCAGTTAGCGAAGGTCGCATTGTAGTCATCATAGTTGTCATCACTGGCAACAGTGAGGAGGTAGTGAAGGTAGAGGCCAAGGCCGACGTCAATGCTGTCTCTTGCAGGGTGATGGTCACTTAAATCCCTCATTAGAAAGAAGCCCAAAAAGAAGGTCTTTGAGAATTGAGGCGAAGACGCGACTTAGACTTACCAGTAGCTGTCTTACCGCCTTCGGTGCGAATACGGGTGACAACGGGGATTCCTTGATCGGGGCCATCTGGACCCTGCGAAGGGCCGAGCACTGTATTGGGCGACGGCGAGGCGCCGTCACGGGGCTGGGAAGTGAACTGGCCCATGATTGCTGTTAAGATGCGAATGCTGCTTGCTTGAGATGGGTCATCCGCCGTATACCTTATTTGTAGGGAAGACGAATGGCAGCGCAGAGGCAATGCGAAAGTGAGGCTGATGGCGCTGTGAATGCAACCTTCGATGCGTCTGGGTTCAGCTTCTGAGGCAGTTCAAAGTGTGGCCACAAAGCTAAGAATGCTTCCCCCTCAAAGCAGTCGACCGGTCTTCTGCAGCATGCCTCCGTTGCTAGAAGACGAGACGAAAACCCAGCCACAGGTAAAGGTAAAGATGTGAGGAGAATGATGGGATTCCAATTCTTCGACAGGCAAAAATGTGTGAAAAAGACGAAGAGGTAAAGAAAAGACTCAAACTCTACTCCTTCCTCGAAAACAATATCGCAAAGGCGGTATGATTCAAGTGGAAGGCAGGAAACGGAAGGAGAAAAGCCCGTAATGAATCAAGTGGAAGGAGCAAGCTGACCCAGAACTCGAAGACACCTTCCATCTTTAACAACTCATTTGGGAAGAGATGCGAAGTGAATAAACCAGGAACATAGATCACAGAAGGCGGAAATACGCCGCTCTCAACCCGAACATCAACTTGAGATGCCTTGCCTAAGGTAGACACACGGTAGATGGACAATTTTGCCGCTCATAGCATAGGATTTGCTAGCCACGTTCAAGCCTTGCTCCCTACCGCAGTCACCTTGATTTATCTATTATATCTGCGCGAGGCAGCCCAATCATGGCCTCGTCGATCGTCCGGGTTATGTTCAACGTACTTCCTTCATTGGAGTGACTGGATACAACCACAATGTACGTAACCGGCACCATAGCTCATTGGAAGAAATGACCACCTAGAAGGAGATTCGGATTTGCTCGTATCTCATCCGTCTGTATATCATCTAGAAATACTACTTTTTTTTTCTCCCTTATCACGTGCCAATGAGATGTGTATCTTCGCAGCTCTAGATGGAACATCTGCATTTACACCCATCTGCTGAGGAAATGATAAACCACAAGGACCTCCCTGAGCCACTTCTGCCTAGGTACCTTGCTGAAATATCATCGCTGAGTCAAACAGACTTGTAATCATCAACTCTCGAAATGACAAATCTTCACCACAGCCAGACTAAAAGATGTTTTTCTGTTCGTTCAAGTATCTATCTGGCTTCGCTTACCCTCTACTTCAAGTGCCACTTTACAATATATCTTCAGCGAACCTCACGGCAAAGCCGTTAGACTTGAATACGTCGAAGAAAATTGAGTAGAGGAATATCTAGATACACCACCCTTGCTGAGCCGGGCCCAGCTCGCCGGATACCAGCTACTTACAATATCTTTTGGTCCTTGCAGCTTACAACATTCTTGATAGCAAACTCTCGAACATGGTCCCATCCATCGTCTATGTATTTATCCAGATCACCTCGCGGGCATGGCCATCCAATCGACATCCGCTTACCATCATGTTGGCGCTTGAACCATCTCTCTAAGGCGGTCCGCCGACCTCACCTTGGGCCAATCAAGTTAGTCGCCATAAAGCAACCTCGAGATACAAAAGAAAGAAAACCGCTGGTGCTATAGCTATGTCTTCGTCAGCTTTTTGCATGGGAGCATCTCCCTCCCAAGGCTGGCGGAAATGCCGCTGCCTTCTTTTGTGTAGCGTTGAGCATGTTCTCTGCGGAACTTCTTGTAAAGGTCTTCCAGATTATCACGGACTTTAGCAGCATTATCTGCAGCGTGTATATAGTCTATTCATGAGGGGGCTCGTAAGATTGTCTCGATTTCAGTTGCCTGGCATATTGCTCAGTTTCAAGTATGTACCACACTCAAGTTACCAACATGCTTGAATTCCATGATGTCACATTCTCATAAGCCACGTCCGAGAATGGTGGAGTGAGAGCAATACCTAGACTTCAAGTGCTATACGCATCATATAACCGCGAGGTCGAGACCGTGGCATCGCCGTTCAATGACATCCTACGTCCGAAATCATGAGACCATTCGCAGCTCGATATTCATGCCCGTAGCCTGTCAACTCGGGCGAAGCGCTTTCTGGCCGAGGTGATGAAGCACAGGTGGTATCGCAAGTCAATCGCTGTTTAGCGTCATTCCTCAAGATGACGTTCATCGTCCCAAAAGTCTTTCCTTTAGCTAGACTTGTCGGCCTGGGCTTTCTCGTAGATCCAGTCGTTCAGACCGTTGCGGTTTCTCGCAATCTCGATGGCGTAGAACTGCATGCGGGGCGCTGTGGTACAGGTTAGCTGATGAGCGAGCTAGAATCACCAAACATGATTCTGGCGAGGTTCAAAACAGGGTTGGCGGAGGGCCACTGACCAAAAATGACCTCGTTCTGGCCGTACTCGAACTTGGGGCTAGCGCGGACCATGGTCCCAAAGTTGTAATCGTCCACCTTCTTCTCGTAGGCCATCATGAACTTGCGCCACCGTTCCTTGCCGGTCTTGCTCTTCATCTCGTCCTCGTTGATGGTCGCGGCGGGGTCGAACTCGGGGAAGTCAGTCTTCAGGTGCTCGTAAATCTCGTCGTCAATCTTGGTCAGGCGCAGTGTGGAGCCCTTGACCTTCTCGAGGATCTTCCAGTAGGTTTCCATGTGCTGGACGACTGCAGAAAGATGCTTTTGGTTAGCTCACGATCGTGGATTGGTTCGAAGGTGGCAGTGGCAGCGTGTGTACCCTTGACGGCGAATTGCTTCTCGATCTGGGCACAAGGAAGAAGTCAGCGCATTTCGTTCACGACACGGAGAAAGTAGGCGTTCGAGCTCACATCCTCGAGGTTGTCAGCCTCTTGGGCGTTGAAGTTGGTGGGAACTTGCGCAGACATTGTGATGGATTTTCTGGATTGATCGTGCTCAGTGTCGGTGAGAGAGGTAAATGTTCGATCGTGGAGGGGTTGGACGAGGAAGCTTTCAAGATGTTGGTGGGGCAGCAGTGACGAACATAGCACCGCTGGGCAGCCAGGCATCGCGGGGTTCTTTTTTTTCGATCTTTTTTTTTTTTTTTGTCTCTCCACATTTCCGCAGCAGAAGACGGATACGTACCTACGTCAATGTACAACTGTACCTTGCACTGATGTCAAAACACAACATAATAACTCCATCCAACGTCTGCCGCCCAACTTCGGCGATGACACTAAAACAGGTCGTCTGCATCCATTTCTTCTCCCCTCTCAGTCTTCGATTGGACGCTCTTGTCCGCCGCAATGCCACCGTTTTGCGAAAGTCACATAGACATCTTCTCTCAAATGGTCGCTCTAGATATCGTTCCATCCTTCAGCCAGCTCCCTTCTGATTCCCGAGACGACCAACCCGACATTGCCCATGCAGATGTCGTAGACGCCTGCGAACCAGCATCAACCTCTCTCTTTGACAAGCTCCGTCGCATTCTGTGAACTAGGACTTGCATTCTGTGTTCAAGACTCGCCTCATCTATTGCTACCGATTCTTGAGACGCCCTCCCGATCAGTTGCGTTCTACTATCCGAAAGTTCACGTGCGTCGCCGTTCTCTGAGGTTTCTTCGATGCTTCTAGACGCATATCCAACCGACATACGTCCAGTCGATAGGTTCTCGTATGGTCGTGTAAGTATTATTGCTCCCTCTGGAAGACAGAGGCCGCGCAGGTACTGTCGAGAATGGTCATCCAGCTGCAATTTACCATGTCCTTTGTCGACCCATGATTTTTGGCCGGGAATGCGCGGCCATACTGAAGATGGCGCCACTCGATACGTGTGGTGCTTGAACTCGTCGCTACTCACAGGGACTGGAAAGATGCGACGCAGCAGAGAATGTGTGTAGCCGTTGCTGAACCCGCAGAGGCGCATCGAGTCGATGAAGCCAGCTAGGCGTACGAATGGTTCGCAGATTCTCAGGAACTCATCCGGGCAGTATGAAAAGTCAGCTCCGTAGCTCGACCGCTTGGGTGCAGACACTTGCTCCGGCTCCGTCGACGCTCCTTGGTTATCCTTGTCGGCTGCAGGCCTGGAACCCGAGGGCAGATGGTCGGAAGGGCGCTCACCCCAGAATCTTCGGCAGAGTAGTACAAGACTCTTGAGCGTCGAGTGGTTTTTCCGCCTCAACTGGCCTCTTACGAAAGCTCCGATGAGATCGTCCATGTTGACGGTTCCTGCCCGCAGCTTGCAGGCTTCCTTTCCTGGCCCGAAACCCAATCGCGTCAAGTCGAGCTCGACGATGACATGCTGCATGAAGTGGCCGTATTTATCACACCATAGTGTTGCCAAAGGATTCAGATAGGGGCCGACGAAAGGCGACAGGGTGATGTGGAAGCGCTTTTCCATGAGAAATGCAACTAGAACATCCGCGCGCAGAGCGAAAGATACGTCGAGGTACGGCTGCAGAGTTCCCATTGCGGCAGCGAGCGAAGTGTACTCATCGTCAGTCCAGACCTCTCTCACGAACCGACCGTCGTTGAGGCATATTGGCATGTCGGATGTGTGATCGGCAATGAGATGTTGGCATATCTGGAAGCGTGCGACTGCGGGGAGTCTGAGGTATGGAGAAGTCGGCTCCTGTTGTTGCGTTCGCTGATGATCTGCGAAGAACATTGCGACCGAATTCTCAAAGTCGATGGCCTTGTCGGGCAACGCCTGGCCACGTCGGTATTTATGATAGACGATATCGATTGAGCGATCCCAGGGCGGGAGGTTCTTGCGTGTTGATCCGGCTGGCCATCCAGACTTGGGCTTTTCCATCAACGTTCGGGCTGCCTTCGGAGGTATGGCCGCGGGAAAGGGATAGGGCAAAGGGGTCGAGATATTTCTCGTCAGTGATGACTTCGGCTTCGTCACTGTGGCATGATCAGTATCCATTTTCCTCGACCTCGGCGCGACTCGAGAAACAAGGTGGTTGACGTACTTGCTTCGAGGATCTTATTCATCAAACTTACTCTTCGTGCTGGTGTGGCTGCGATGCTGCCGGCCAGGTTGACAGTCCCGGGTAGTTGTTCTTGTTTTTATCGTTTTGCTCGACCCCTTCTTTCCCTCTTCAAGTGAAGAAAATCGAAAGTCTCAAGGATAAGGTGCGCGGAATATTTCGTGTTGTGTGGTTGTTGATGTGCACCTCAGACACGGAGGGTGGTGAAGACGAGTGTATGTTTTTCTTCCCCTCAGGTGAGGGTAAGATTCACTGAATCCTCGAGTGCGTATTCACCTCCATGTGTATTCACTTTAAACTACTTGCCGCGCTTCATGTCTACTTTGATTTTCATCTCATCTCATTCCTTGCGCGCTTCTGCCTCTCATTTGAGATTTTGGTGTCTTGCTCTTTTTGAGGCAAAACAAGCCCACATAAAACGGAACCAGCGAGATCTGGTCATCACCAAAGGTTTCTAATGCACTTGAATTGAAACAATTTCCATGGGGTTCAGTTCAAGTTGACATTCACTACACAGTTCTACAGCTGTTCGTGTCCGATTGCACATTGTTGGGTGACCCGCTTCTTCGGCGCCGAGTGGATCGCGGCTCCGTGCATCCCCCGGGAGCTTAATTAGCCATGCTCCGGTCATGCATCTGGCGATGGTAGTACCATGCTGGAGGGGAGTCACGGCCAATGTGCCGCGCCTATTGTTTATGCAGGCTCACTGCTTGCATACAATATTTAAAGCAGACAATATCTATGAGTCTACTGCGCCGTTATCACTCGAGGACAGTTATTCGTTGGTTGGTACAGGGGTGCCCATTTTTGAGCTGACAATACGCGGCAGCTCGGTCAAAGGACAGCGAGGCAACACGGAGATACCGGCAAAATTTTTCCCCATCCTTACGTCTTGCGAGTAGAAAAGAGGATGGTCAAAAGCAAGCAATCGAAAGGGAGGCTGCAGAGATCTCGCCAAGCGTATTGGCACCCGCATCTAAGCTTAAGGGGACGAACACCGCCGTGACGGCTCGGGTGATCCCCTCCGACGGTTTGGCGTCCGTACCATGAAGCCATTGGTCCAATGTGAAATGGACTTGCTCCAACGGGAGCTGCACCACCCATGAACCGTACAGCAAGTTTTTAGGTCCCTACCCCATTTCCCCCCTCCAAGCCAAACCAATGCTTCATAATTTAACCCTAGTCCCGTTGAACGGGGTTCGGGTCGGAGTTGACAACTTCTAGCCCTCTGCTTCCCCGTTCCCTTGTCGACTTTCCCCAGAGAGGGGGAAACGCACCCCAATTGAGGTATTCGGTTGCGTTTACCCATGTTGAGGGTGGTGTGGAGTGTGGTCTGACCCGGTTGAGCCAAATCCCCGTTGCGATGGTCGGTCGACAGCGACAGACCACATGGCTGTCTGTTTAAGAGGCGCAGGTGTCCATGACTTTTGTGTCTGGGTGCTGTTTGTTCTTTGCTTCTCTTCGTGTTGAGTGACCCTTTGGTGAATACCCAGTCTCTTGACTTATTATGTACCAATTCTTACCTAACATTTGAGATCACGACACATCTTGAATCTAACTGCGTACATTAGCCAATCGTTCCCATAGAACAACTCACTTGAAGCTCCTGTTGAAAGTCAGAAAACCAGCTTTCTCGAGTAAATCTCCACGCGTCGTTTCTCGCGAGAGATTGCGAAGTTAGGTCTTCCTAGAAACAAAAGGTAGTTTAGGCAAGTCTGTCCTTTTTCTTACACAAAGATCCATGAGCATATATGTGATTCAGGAAGCATGTAAACACAACACACCACGTCTTTGAACACCAAGCCACCGGATCGTATTCCTGAGTGCCAAGACTCTGCTTTCTCAACTTTCGTAGCTCCTGGCAGTTACCTAGCTGCACAGGGACGCAGTATAAGTGGTCATCGGGACTAACATCAAGGCAGCATACTTTCAAAGCTCCAATGACCTTACCAACAGAAGAACCACGTCATTCCGCGGAAGGAGGAGCAACAACGAGCAGCATATCCCAGGATGACAAAGAGACAAAAGGCCTCTACCGGCTGGAACGCGAACCCACCAGAGAAGAGAAAACGGCAGAGGCCCTAGCAGAGGGCCACGATGCCGACATACCCTCCAGCATGGGCTACGTCCTCGACGAACGTGGCGAGGAGAAGAGGAAGCAGTCACTCGCGCTGGCTCGGACAAGATCTCGCAAGTCCATGGCGCGCGAGGACGTAGAAAAGGGTGTGGGCGGTACGGCAGAGAAGGACGGCGACGGCGGCGAGAGCTCCGAAGACGAGAACATTGTCTGGTGGGATGGTCCGGACGACCCGGCGAATCCGTACAACTGGCCGAGTTGGCTCAAAGTCCTCAACTGTAGCCTAATCAGTGCCATGACGTTCGTTACACCACTGGCATCTTCCATCTTTGCCCCCGGTGTGCCGGACCTCATGCGGGAGTTTCACAACAACAGCCCCTATCTAGCTGCCTTTGTCGTCTCCGGTAAGAACGCTCCTTTAAACCTCTATTTACTATCCCATCGTACAGATCAACCGGAAAGAAACAAAACGTGCTGACACCAAAGCGCAGTCTACGTCCTGGGCTTTGCAGCCGGACCCCTCCTCTGCGCGCCCCTGAGCGAAATCTACGGCCGCACAATCGTCTACCACGTCTGCAACCTCTTCTTCATCTGCTTCAACGTCGGCGCCGCCCTCGCGCCCACCCTCAACGCCCTCATCGTCTTCCGCCTCTTTGCCGGTGTCTTCGGCTCCGCGCCCATCACCAACGGCGCGGGTTCTATCTCCGACATGATCCGCCAGGAGAAGCGCGGCGCGGCCATGGCGGCGTTTAGTATTGGGCCCCTGCTGGGCCCCATCATCGGCCCCGTGGCGGGAGGTTTCCTTGCCGATGCGGCGGGCTGGCGATGGGTCTTTTGGCTTATTGTTATTGTGAGCGGGGTTCTGAGTATCGTCATGCTCATCTTTTCGAGGGAGACGTACGCGCCCATTATCCTTGACAGGAAGGTGAAGCGACTTCAGAAAGAGACGGACAACCCTCTGCTGCGGTCGAAGCTCGATATTGGGCTTTCTTCGGCCGACTACTTCAAGAGGGGCATCATCCGCCCTATCAAGATGATTGCCTTTTCTCCAATCACTCAGATCTTGTACGTAACATAGTGCTCACTATGTGGTGACCATTACTAATAACCCCAACAGCGGCCTCTACATCGCCGTAGTCTACGGTTACCTCTACCTCATGTTCACCTCCATCACCTCAGTCTTCATGGGAACCTACGGCTTCAGCGCCGGCACATCAGGCCTAGCCTTCATGGGCCTCGGCGTCGGCTCTATGATCGGCGTCGTCTTCTTCAGCCTCTCCTCCGACAAGTACGTCAAAAGAAAAGCCGCGGAAGCAGACGCCGCGGCCGACGAAGCCGGCACCGTCCGCGAGGGAATGAAACCGGAATACCGCCTCGTCGCCCTCCCCGCCGGCGCCGTCTTCCTTCCCGCGGGCCTCTTCATCTACGGCTGGACGGCCGAGTACCACATCCACTGGTTCGTGCCCATCTTGGGCACGGCCATCGTCGGCATCGGCAACCTCATCATCTTCATGGCGCTGCAAATGTACCTCGTCGACGCCTTCACCATCTACGCCGCCTCGGCCCTCGCCGCCAACGCTGTCGTGAGATCCGTAGCGGGAGCGACGTTACCTCTTGCGGGCCTGAAGATGAACCAGAACTTGGGCGTCGGCTGGGCGAGTAGTATTCTCGGTTTCATCGCTGCCGCCATGCTACCTGTGCCGTTGCTGATTATGAAGTATGGTGAGTACTTGCGCAAGCGTTTTGAGCTCAAAGATCTGTAAATGCGCTTCAATCGAATAAGCCAGAGAAAACCTGCTGTAAGTTGTGGGACATACAAAACTCATAGACATGTCCAATGCATATTGTCAACAACATAAGTGAAGATGCCATTATCTTGGTGTATCCCGTTGATGGGGCATGACTGGATCCTCGAAATTACCCATTCTCCCGGCTTGCATTTTGTTGGTCGTAAGACTTATGAGAGACCTCATCTGGTGATTGGTAGTCCATCGTAGTTGTATCTTAAGCTTCATCCCGCTAGGAATTTCCACGTTTGCTCAATTCCGCAGTCAGAACTGTCAGTGGCTGGCCCGGGTTGGACTAGACCGGGGCAATGTTGATCGTGTCTTGATGAAGGAGGATGCGACGTTATCGCCTTCATTCCGTTCCGTTCCAGAGACGTCGTCTCACTGGGTCCGTCACTACGGACCCCTACGAGAACCCAGATTTCGTCTGATTGATTCATTATTCGACTTCGGATGAAGGTTGACACCTATCTATAATCGCGTTTAAAGAAAATTCTTGGAAGGTGATATCAACTTTATTCATGTGTGCAAATCATACTCG